AACTTTAAATAATTTGAAAATATCAAGTATTGCTTATTAGATTAATTTAGTACTTTTTTTCTAATTGGTTTTGAGTCTTTTTAGAGAGTCACGTTTCAAATATGAAATAGGCTGCTTTTTAATCTAATGCGTAAATGATTCTTCGTGACGGTTTTCCAGACTTGTGGCTGGAGACGTCATAAAATAAAGCTCCTTCAACTGAAGCACGAGGCTGGAATTGATGGAGGTGACTATTGACCTGATTGCTGCAGGTCTTAAAATATCTTGCATAAACTAATAACTTCAAATGAATGCTGCAGAAATTTAAGCTAGAGCTCTGTTACTACAGGAGAAGAGTTGCTGCTGTTCTTTAAGCTGGGTTTTGTGACGTGCTTAAATACAAGGTTGCTCTTTTGTGTGTTGTTTGCTGAAATGAGTAAGCAGGGGGGTTTGGCCAGTTTCTCCAACCAAAACTACATAGTGAAGAAGTACATTTTTCATTTTGAGAATAAACCAATCAAAACATTGATTGGCTTTGCTTTTTAAGGAGGCAGACCAGTCAGTGACGGCGCATTTTTAAAATTGTGTAATGAAGTTCTAAATTTTACTTGCTATGAAGCAGGAGCTCTGCTTCTTACATTTACACTAATCTGTAAATTGCTCTTGGTTATTACTGTGAACTAATGAATAGCTCAATGTAATGTGTGGTCACAGTGTAGGACATTTCCCTTTTCTAAGTGTAAACAGACCTCTGTTGGGTAAGAAAAGTCCCCTGCACCCACGCTGATGCGTAAACAGCAAGTGCTAGTGACAGCCTTATTGTCATGAGGCAAAAATTCACTGTATGTCACTGGAACCAAGCTTGAAGATGGATTTTTTGAGTATTATTGAAGCTTGATACCTTCTTTTCCCTACTGATGCAGTCATTTTGTAGTGAGGTGAATAAAATTTGCCTGAGGTCTTTTGGAAATGATGAATGTGCAAATCCTTGAGTATAGTGAGTAGTGTCAATAGGCCTGAAGTTAACAACTTTGCTTAACTTTTAAGAAATGTCCCTATGTACATGTATGGTTGCCAGTTTGTTGCTTGCTTCAGCTATGTAATAAACAGGGCTATATTTAATTTCAAATTCACATGAAACTAAAATATCCACCAGTTAAAAATCCTCTTGCTGCCTTTTGCATATGTCGTCTTATTTTCCAACTACTGTTCTTCATGTAACTTTCACCATATTTTTGTGGAGCGCTTGCGTCTTCCTTGCTCTAGCGCAGCTGTGAACTCATGAAAATTCTGGACACCTTTTCATGTTCCTGTTAGTTTTGATTCCTGAAACTAATTTTAAGCAGCAATTATTTTTCATTACAAAGCAGCCGCTCCAGGAGTTGTGCAGCCCGAGTGGAGCTTGGCTTCCTGCAGGCTTCTCCTGGAGCTGGTGTAAGCCTGATTGCAAACGTCCCGGCTGCGGAGAGCAGCTTCGCAGATCTCTCCTGTGTGGGTTCTTTGATACCTCATAATTAGTGAGTGTACGTAGCAGACTTGCCCTCCAGCCAGGGCAGGTGCTGGAGTCTGCTGAGAGGAGAAACCTGGCGAGGAACCAGCACCTGCAGGGACTCGGCCTCCCTCGGCCCGGGGTTACGCTGACCAGCGACTGCAGGGCTGCTCCACGGAGGGCACAGGCACCTACACGCTCAGGATGTTCTTATGGAGAAACCAATCCTGGAAAATAGGTGCTCTGCAGGGGTGTGCACATCTGCTCTGTATGCCAGGAGCGTAGTAATAAGCACAAAGGAATCCTCCTTCTTCACAGCATTTTGTACCTTGGTAATTGGAGTTCTGTGCAGAAGCAGAGGGTTGGCAGCCTCCCTCCCTTGAGGCGCTTGCAGCTTAGGAAGAAGCAGTGATATTTTAAAAGCTATATATATGTAAATGGGGCAGAGCACAGGGTGATGGAGAGGTGTGTTATTTGTTTAAATAAAAGCCTGTCTGATTTCACGTAAGTGTCTTCAGAATTCCAGTACAGTTTTCTCAAATAATGTTTTTCTTGGAAGTTATACAGCCGCTCTAAGGGTAGTTAGTCATTTTATGGCAAAATTCATCCTGGGCCTGAGTAGTTGCTCTTCTGATAACAGTTTAGTGACTCCTGACCAGAAAGGAAGTGAGATTGACTTTAGTCCAAAATCATTTTTTAAACAGAAATGATAAAATCTAGGTGGTACTTCCTTGCTTGGACTAGAAGGAAGACAAATGCTTATGTTATGTGCTACCACCACCACCCCCTCTTTTTAATGTTTGCATAGTTGTCAGTAATTCTTATGGCCAGAATGGCCTCCCCTCGGGCCACTTGAAACCCTTTTGGATACAGTTTGATGCATAAGTCAATGCAGGCTTGATGTTGATCCATCTTTCAAGGCAGATAGTCTACATTTAGAAGCAAGTTGAGGCAAAACAGTTTAGGCAAAACTATCATGGAAGAGACTACACAGGTGACTGGAAAACTTGTGATCGAAGTTAGTTTAATAATAAAAGTGACCTCTGCAGTGCAGGGTTCTGCTGGATTTCTGCAGTCCAGGGATTCAAGTACTACAGCTATTTTCCTCATATGAAAACAAATCCTGAAAGGAAGGAAAACTTTCTGTTGTTACAAAATATAAGTAAAGACCTCAAGAGTTGCTTTTTAATTTACACAGAAATCACAAAATATTTGGCCTAGTGCTGAATGTTTTGTCAGTCTAAGTCTAGAATTTTATTTAGATTTCCTTCAGCACCTGCCAAACAGGTGGTGATAATTCTCTAAAACTGAGAATTTGTTTACACGTAAAGCTGCATGTAAATATGTGAAGAGTGTTTTCTTAGCAGCTTATTAAATCTCACATTGCTTTGGAAATAACGAGCATATGTTCAGTGGGTGCTCCAGCCAACGCAAGAGTGTGGGAATTGCAGAAGAGGTGCAGGAAACCTCAGGGCTGGGGCCCTAACATGGGTGTTGAACGTGGAGCTCTGCTCACAACTGGCAACACTGGTGTTGGTTTGAGTTCACACACGATGTGGAATACAAGTAATTCTCCAAAAGGACTGCAAACAGGATGGTGCTGAGCCGCGTAGAGGAGCTGTGCTGTTCTGAATAAAGCCCCGGTTCTGGTGTTGCCCCGTATCCCTGGTCCTAGCTGATGAACCGTGCGGCAGAGAAGCAGCGTCAGGATTAGCCATGGGCGAGAAAGGAGAACAGGAAAGCGTGGCCCGCCTGAGCTTGGGTCACAAGAGATGTGTGCGCTCCTGGTAAAGGTTTATGGCTTAATTGTATCTTCGTGTTTTTCTTCTATCAATCTGTGTGCTTACAGCTTGTTATCAAATGCAAAAGCTGCTTCTCTCTCTACAAATGGGCTTCGTAGTGCTTTATTTGTATTGTTCCCTAACTCGGTATCTAGTCAGCGAAGAAGAAAATCCTATTTATTGGTGCAATTTAAATGTGATTAAAAGAGTTCCTTTCAGAACCAGCAATTAAAGAAGTTTTCTTCTGTCTTCTGGATGTATATTGTCTAATAGAGACAGTTGCTAACCTTTAACTTCTGTGGCAGACACAAACCTAATTAGCATTTCTGCACCAAATGGAATCTTTTTATTTTAAATTTGCAAAAGGAGGATAGAGTTATAAGTGTTTGTCTCTCCCAGCAGTAATTACAGTCTTTTTTTGCTCACAGTTGGAGGTTGGACTACATGCATTTATCAATGATGTGTTAGTATAATAATTTCTTTCGCTAGCACATTGACTTAACATATTTAAAAAGAAAAACTACTTTAAAAAGCTAACAAACAAGATGAAAAGATGACTTGTCTTATGCTCAGTGTATCTAGCACTAAGTTAATGTAGAGGAAAGTTCTTCTGATTTGGCTTAAAAAGCAAACGCTGGTTGTTAGAAGAACACATGTAGTTCAGAGGATAAGCTTGCTTTGATGATGCAGTGATACTTGCATGCTTTAGGGAAAAGGCTGTACTTACTGCTTGTGTGCCAGTGTGAAAGTACAGTGATTTACAGAAACATGTGCATGCCCTAGTCTGGCAAATATGAAAAATGGTCCATTTTCCCAATGATATTAGGAGTTGCATTTATGTGGGCGAAAGTGAGGGATGGCTAATGAAATGCAAGATGTGGCTGTGATAAGTCTGACATTTGTGCTTTTTTTTGTGTCTCGGGGTGTATATTCAGTTGTTCCAACAGCTGGAAATGCCGTCTACTTCTGAGAGAAATGGTGTTGCTAGAGCTACTGTAATATTTACCATATTCAGCATATTTTAATTGTACAAGTCTCAGCTTTTTTGCCATGAAGTCTACGTGCACTTAATTGGGAATAAGTTCATTTTTATGTTAACAAGGCCTTTTAGTCCTGGCTTACTCTTTGCTGTATACTGAATTGTGTGCTTTTCTGCAAGTATGAAGTCTGGAGGATGTATAGGCTGAACTATATTGTGTTGCTAAGGCAATTGAACATGGAGCTCGCACCATTAAAGAAGTGAGAGGAAAGTATTCTGGTGCCCTCGAATCACTGTAGGAATTTGCTTAAACTCAACAATAGTAGGCAGCTAGCTAAGTATATTTAGGTTCTCTTCTTTTCTGTAATTCTTAGTCACATCAGCAAATGTAATGACATTTTTGTGTTCTGGTTAACATTACTGACCAATTTTTGAAATTCCAGGTATCATTGGGAATGGAAACTGTATTGCCGCTTTCCGTGGAAAGTTCTATAGCTTAATCATGACTCTTCTAGGTCTGTTCTATCGATAGATTCGGAAAAAAATATTGTCATTATCTCATTACCAAAATATGTTATTGCATGAAAATGTGGTCCTTGAAAAATGCTAAAATGGCATACGTGTGTGACAAGTGTCGCTTTGGAGACGCCTTTTTATAGGACAGTCTCTAATACCTGCATATTCTACCTTTATCTGTTCGATAATGGATTTCTGTGTAGAGGATCAGTGCAACTTAACCAGTGCTGCCTGCCTTCTTTGTTTGTTTTTGAAGGACCTGGTAAACATTGAAATGTTTCTGACTGCTAAAGAAGTGGAAGAATCACTGGAAAGGCAAGAGACTATGACTTGCTTGGCTTGGTGTCATGATAACAAATCCAGGCTCAGGAAAATGAAGGTATGAATATATAACATGCTAATGCTGCCCTTCAATTGCTGTGGTTTTCCCAACTGCTTCAATATTTGACGTGGTCAGTTTGATTTAAGTTGTTAGTCCTGAATGGAGCCTTGTATAAAAGTAAAAACAGCTAAGTAGAAAATTCATCTCTCAAGGTTATTGGAGCTGAAGCAGTTTACACAAATGTCAAACTTCAAACTGAGCATAAATCATTTTATGGATTCAAATGTTATCTCAACAAATTATACTCAAGTAATGTTATTAACTTGCTCTTTAATATGATTTACAGAAGTCTAAATGCCAAAGTCTATAAAACCCTGATGCATGTGGATTTAAGTGTGTAGCTTGTTTTGCATCCTGCTGAGAAGCTAGCTTGTGGTTTCTATATGAAGGTATCTTGAAGTATGGTAAAGAGGTGTATTGCTCAACTTAATGTCCTCAAACTTAACATTGTGAGAGCAATTTAAGGCAGATTACGTCCTGGTGTTTTTAAAGGTTGTTCAAAAAAAGGAGGTGGGGGGAAGGAAGAACTGTAGAAGAGCCAACAAACTACTGTTGAACATGTCTGGGGTTTTATTTTTTCTTCCAACAAAAGCGAAAGCTGGGTCTAAGTAATAAACGCAGTAATTCCCTTTAGCTATTGAATACTGTGACCTGAACACACTCTGTATTTGTTCCTCTGCAGTTGGTCTAAATTCCCTTGTATCTTTAATTCTGTTTTTAAAAACATCCTGTAATCTCTTATAGGGCTTGCAGAAATCTCTTTTTAATTGATATTAACAAAGATCCCTGCCTCCCTCAAAGATGTTTGTCCTTTTTTCTTTTTTTTTTCCTTTTTTTAAACTAAGCGCTTTCTTTAACCAAAAATGTTTGAGTGCACTTAATGGTCAGCAAAGAGTGACGTTCTTTGTCACTCAGGGGCACCAAAATGAGAATGAACCGAAGATGGGACGCAAAAGTAAATCGGCCAGTGATTACTCTAAAGAAAATGATGATCTTGTTATGGAAACCATTAAAGGAAAACCAGAATTGGTATGTAAACATTACTGCATAGTTATACTACTGAGGAGGAGAGAAAAAAAAAAAAAAACCCTTGTGTAATCTTAATGCATTAAGTAATAGAAGAAACAAAATCTGAAAGTCTTATTATTTCATCATTAATCTATAATAACAATAAATAAAAAGAAAGCTTCCTCAACCCTCTTTTGAGAAAGAAAAAATCTATTTCTGCAAGCCCTACCCTTTTAATATAAAATGTAAGGCTGTGAGCAGAGTTGGGAGAAGAGAACTCGCTATATTCCTTTTTGAAACAAATGAACACTTCTTCTGTTCCTGGTTGCTTGGCTACTGATGGGAGTTCGCTTCCTAGAATCCCAGCCATCACCTTAGTGCCAGCTCAAGCTGAGAAGGAGCCTGCGGTGGCTTGGGAAGGCCCAGTCCTGCAGGCTGAGCGACCTGCCCAGCTCTTGGAAGGCAGCGTCTGCTGGCCCGGGATTCCTGTAGTTACACTGCTTTGCAGAATCCATACGCCCTTGGCTTGCAGCTTGCTTGAAAAGTCTTAAAAACCAAAGAGTTTCTGAAGATTGTTTTGGGATGTGGTGGGTTTTTTGGTTTTTGCTATTGAGTAATGATATACTAAGCCCCAGGATTTAGTATCATTAACAATTAAAAAGATCAGTCACTCTCTATTTTTATGGAAACACACTTCAAGTTTCAAATGACCATTTTGTGTGTCAATTTTGAATAATGAGGTATTTCAAAATGTCCTTCTTGAAAATTCCAAACAGGAGATAAGAAATCTTTCTCTTTGCTAGACCCAACCTTGAGTACAGCAAAATGTGAAGTTGGAAAATCATTTATTTTCTATGTCTTAAAGTAGTGCACTTCAACGTGTGTCAGAATACATATATTTTATTTCTATTTAAGTCGCTTCTCAATTTTAATTGTAAAATGGAAATTTTTTTAAGTAAGTAATTGTGGCAAGGTGTGCATTAGTTACCACAAGCAGTTAACTGATTAAAAAATCTGAATTGCTCAAATTCCTACTGGTGTCACAGAGGAATTTTGATATTATTGTGCTGATAGACAATAAACAAAAGGCAACTATTCATTGTAAGCATGAGGGAAGAAAAAAAAAACGCTGAGTGGAGCAGGGTAACTTAAGGAATATCCTTTTTTTCAAGAGCCAGAAGACTTTGTGGTTTTTTATTTGAGGTAAGAAAACAGTTGACTGTGTCCCTATAAAGAAGCAAAGTGACTTGTTCTTTTATGGGGGGAGAGACTTTTTCTTTTTAATTCCACATATTCAAAGTTTTTTTTAATAAACTTTTGTGAACTGGTGATGGAATTTGATTTAAAGGGACACTGTCAACTTCATTAGGCTTCAAATTTTACCTTTTTCCAGGTAAATGCCCCTTGGTTTTCGTGTTTTTTGAGGTTTGTTCCCACATGGCTTCTAGGCTTGACAAGAAGAGAAAGAAACAAGTTAGAGGGAAAGGAGTGGGGAGGGGCCTGCAGCAACCTCAGCTCCGGGCTCCTTTTTGTTAATACAGGGGAGTTTCCAGCTCCTGTTCAAAGACTTCTTCCCTGCAGCCTCATTCATAGACCTCTCTTGTCTGAATTGTCACCTTGCCCCAAACTCCTGTTGATTCTGCTGCTTTAAATTGTATGAGAGTACAAAGGACCCCGTTGTAATTCTCACCTGCATCCCAGATGAGGATGCTTTGAGTCACTAGGAAAAGGTCAATCCTTATTAAATGTTGAAATTGTGAAGGAGGCAAGAGGAGGAATGTTTTGTTTGCTTTTGGGAATTCTGTGCCAATGCCTTATCCGTTAAATCAGCATTTCAGCTTCTTTTGCATGAATACCTAAAAGCAAGCAAACAAGACTGCATGTTATTAACACTGATTTCTTTTTTGTTGTGCACACCTAGTACTTTACATACATAACCTGCTGTGCAGTGCAGTTTTGGCACCATCTAAGACCCGTTCTTGTCTTTAATCTCAGAGCTGTCTGGAGTTCAGCCTAAGGATTCAGGAGTTCATTGAACTCATTCGACAGAACAAGAGACTGGATGCTGTGAGGTATGAAATTAGGATGCTTACCAAACGATTTTCTTAACCAGATGCTATTATGCTTCATTAGAAACATGTGACTTATTGCAGCACCCAGAAGCTCCTCTGCAGCAGAGGATCTTGCTAGCATTGCTGTGATCAGTCTTTGGATTAAGCTGGGGTAGAATATTTAAAGGCATGACATCATTCCAGGTGCACCTTTTTAAAATTGTTTTCACTGAAAATCTCCATTTTTTTTTTTAATATTCTTCAACATCAAAGGTTTAAAAGTTGAGCTGTTCTACAAAACATAATGTATATGCATAAACTTATTTTCTGGTGGCATACAATGTAATGACCATACTTACCCTTAAGTAATTTTCAAAAGGTGCAAAGGTGCAGGTAGCTTCTGTCTTCTTTCATTGCTGTTTAATTAAAACATCTAAAGCTTGATGAAATGTTAATCTGGAGATTTACCTTTTGCATTGAATGGATACTTTGAAGCTCTGTATTGTCTGCTCTGCCGGGGTGGCTATGTTGTTTTCCCCTGCACTCCTCCCTTGCCCCCAATAAACCGGCTCAGTGTTTCTCTGAACTGCACTCCTCCCTTGCCCCCAATAAACCAGCTCAGTGTTTCTCTGAACCCCTTTTGCAGTAGCCCTCCTGCCCTGGCAAGGGAATAGGAATCCTGCCAAGGGGATGAGTTGGGAGCTACTGGAGTCAGACCTAATTATAGCCCGACTCCAACCCCAAGACAGTTAATTGCTCAGCTTATAATATCAGTGCATGAAGCAATTTCTGCTTGTTAGTGGTCCTGATTTAAGGTACTAGGATAATGTTCCAGGATAACACAGAAAAACATTTGTGCGGAAATGAGGGAAACTTGAATACCAGCTTTGCCAAAGGTGCTGAGGATTCTCCTGAGCACCACAAAGGAGGTGGAAGGTGGCTGAGGAAGAGGAGCTCACGCGGGGCAGGGCCGAGGGGAATTTGCAGCAGCTTCTAGTTTGTAAGAACATTTAAACACGGCCGCATGACAAAGTCTATGGCAAGATCTATTGCTTGGCTGATGCTTTCTAGTGATAACACAGTTGCTGCTTAGTGTTTCAGACAGCTTTACATCGAAGCTGTCAGTGCAACTCCCTCCTAAAGCCATCCTCGGTGCTCTCTGTATATTGCTGACACAGGCAGGAGGCTGCTCCCTGTTCAGACAAGCACAGAGCTGTAGAAACGCAAGTATCGTCACGCAGGTGCAGACTGCCAGCTCGCTCAGTCCCCACTTTCGGGTGTAGAACGTTCTTCAGGACAAACCAGGTGACTGACCTTGCCTAGAAAAGAAAGCCAAGTGACTTCTGTTCTGGCCCGTCCTTGTTTCAGTGTGCCGCTGCAGGCTGCTGTCTCCCTGCAGCCAGGCTCTTCTGGGCAGTCATGGTGTATCTGACAGGTGACAACCACCCCGTGCCTGGCCCCTTGCTGCATTCGCTCTCTGCTGCTCCCCGCTCATAGCGTCGTGCAGGAGGGAAGGAATGAAGCAAAGCCGAGATGCAGACTTTCTAAGAGCAGTCTAGGTGATCCCATATAAGTGGATTTGAATCTCCCTACAAGTATTAACCTTCTGAGGAATATTACTCCTAATTCAAAGTATTTCTCAGCCTATGTTCTCCTAGTTTACTTGTTCACTACAGAGAATTGCATGACTTGTTTGAGATTGGTTTGGAGCAGAGGTAGACTCTGGAATGCCTATAGGTCCTGTTAGAAACTTTTTTTTATCAATGGAAGATTACCTGTCCTCTCCAAGATCATTACAGGGTTTTAGCATTTTAATTAAAGACTTACTTTGGAGAAGAGGGAGGGGAAGAAAGGCAATATTATGCTAACAATAAAATTATGAGCTGGAAACATAGTGTGTCAGTTTTAGGGCTCTTTTACGTACAGACTGTGGAGGAATTCACATTGAATTAGACCCAGTGAATCTGTGGTAGCTTCAGTGGTGGCACATAGAGCAATAGTAAGGGTAAAGAGAGTAGCTCAAGAGTAAGATGAAGAACACAATGCTTGTTTTTATGGTAGGGCATGGCTTCAATATCAAATTCTAATAGTTAATGCCCATTGAAATTACTGTCAGTCTATCAAAAAATGTAATTGGTATCCCATAAAGAGGGTGTGGGTAAGCAACGGTTGCGGTGGCTGAGAAAGCCTAGTTAAAAACATGAAAAAGAGGAGGCAGTACAAGTACGTAGAAGAGCTACAGTCTGATCCCAACAGCTCCCAAAATCACTCACCTTGCCCTGTTGGCTGTTGCCAGTTGTTCCTCCTTACTTGGTTCAGACCTGGTGCTGGCTTCCCTGCCTTGCCCTAGTTGCCCCTAAGCCCCCTTCTGTTCACACTTCATGCACGTGTGCAGCTCCATGAGCGGCAGCTCATTCCAGCATGTAGAGACCTTAAGGTGGTTTTTGCTCTGTGCTACCGTTTAGGTATTTGCACCTGCCCTTTGCTAGGCCCTTTGCGTGCTGAGGAATTTATTTACGAGAAGGATGAAAGACGCTCAACTGCTTGATCTGTCTTCTGCAGCCCACGATGCTCTTTCTGCCCTGTGAATACTCAGCCTTTGTGCTACTTGGCTTTATTGTCTGCTAATTTGGCTTCTTTGCCAACTGTGCAGTCATGCATCTTAAAAATGAGTAGCTGCTGCTCTAAACTTATTTTCTTTGAGCCGCAGCTTCCTTGTGTAGCTTGGAAACCAGAGGGCAGGGGCAGAGCGGGAGTAAGGAGATGGGCTGAGAACTGGGACAGAGTGGATAAGGTCATTCTGCATTTTATTGTTGCTGCTGGAAACTTGTTTCCTTTTCCCACAACAGAACTAGTAATACTTGCAGTTGTCACCCTCGTTATTTCAGGAGCCAGCCCTCCTGGGGTGGAGTCACCTGTACTGTCATGGCCTTTCATTGCTTTATGGTTATTTCATCTTTAGAGTTTTCTTCCCAAAGGTGGTAGTCAAAACATATAGAGGTAGTCTTTGATTTAAAATCTACTGTTCCTACATACAATCTGAATTCTTATATAGATCCCAAATACTACATGTTACTAGAGATGGAACATTTATACTCCACATATCTGTTGAAATTCAGTCAGCCAAATATTTTTGTTTGGCAGTTATAACTTTCAAGTGAAAATAGCACTGCTTTGATATATACTTTTTTAAATCTGCAAAATAAATGAGAAGGAGCTACAGAAGTTTTTCTGTATCCTAACTCTCTCCTTTTAACAGAATTAATTCATATTCAATGAATTCAAGCACACTCTGAGTTTAGCATCTCAATGCTCCCTTTAAAGAACACAGCAAATGTTCATGTTTTTGCTGTTTCCTTCTACTCTGCTTTAAGTACGTGATGAATAAGGGGGTACGTTCTAGGAAGGTGTAGCATAAATCTCTTCGCTTCTAGCAGTCCATTGCAACTTGTGTTTTTATTAGCTGGCTTCTGTTAAGTGCCTGCAGCAGGATTCTTTTAGTATTGTGTCCGTGGTGCAATAAATAGGTCAGGCATCCATTAGAAAGCAGAGAAAGAGGCTGTTTACCAAGTAGTTTCCTGTATGAGTGGGACTCGCAGAGCTGACATTTTGTTGAAACGCAGCTGGTGTTTAAAGAAGTTTGAAAGCTTTGCCTACTGCCTGCTGAGGAGCTCTAAAGTGACATATTGCTTTTAGGATAAAATTGATGTGAGCTTTAAAAATATATATCTCATTTAATAGCAGTGTTTGCATTTCTGTAGCTTTTTACTATATGATGGGTGCAAACTGACCTTGCTCTAAGGTAGCTTACTGGAGTGATCTGAAAAGTGCAAGTTTTGGGAACATACCCAAATTATTTGCTTAATACTAAGCATGAATTTCACTTACGCTGAAGTGCGTCACAAAGTTTAGCCCAATACACTCAGCTTTTAATTCCTGCAGTCTCCTCTTCAGAGCCACTACCTGTTGCATGTTGCAGTGACAGTGAATTAACAATGACATTTATTTCACACTTTTGAGGCTTTAATTTTGTTGTGAAAAACCGCTAGGGTTCTGCTGACTTGCTTTTATAGGATGGCAAAGAAGCATAACAGGTTCTCAGCTTAAAGCTTAACAAGACACCGTGTGGATTTATTTGTTCTTGGAAAATAAAGGATAAAAAGGGTCAACAAAAGTAGTCAGTGATGGTGTGGAGAAGGAGAAAAGGGGGACAGTCTGTTCACTTCAGTAAACTTCCCCCCTATAAGGGTGAACATATCCAGCTTCTTTCCCCATTATCTCTTGGGTCTCGGTTTTATTTAGTTTGGGTTTGGTTTGAACAGCTGGGGAAGTATCCAAAGCTTGGAGACACTTTCCTAGGAGTCACGGTGGTCGTTGGGATGAAGGTGCTCAGGGGGTAGCTGAGCAGGAAGGACAGAGCCCTTCCCGGCTAGCACCTTCTGCTCGTGCTCAGTTATTGCTGCTTTCTGATAAATATCCTCATGTAAAAGGCAAAACTCGTTGTTTTTTGTTCGCGTGTTGTACCCATACCAGGAAGTAGATTATGAATTCTAAAGTTTTTATAAAAATCTTCTCTCTTGCATCCGTCAAACACAGTATATGTTCGTTGTACCTCTTTAGGTTGGAGAAACAGCTATTTCAAACAAGTAAGAGTAGACTCTGGCCCTCCAGAGCTTGCAGAATTGCTCTGGGATTTGAAAAAATACAGCTTGCCACCTTCTCCCTGGTGTTGCAGGCTGCTCAGCCGGGTGCTCTGCTGCCCCGCTGCATCGGCGGCAGCGACAGACCCGGAGAAACAGCGCGGGGTCAGGGCCCCTCCACCCGCAAGGGAAGCTGAGAAACACGGCTACACGTTTCTCTGACCACAGCGGGTCTTCAGAATATACCTCCTCTGCAGGAGGAGGTACAGCACAAATTATAGTTGTTTTTAAACATATGTGGTAACTCTTCCCATCTAGAAGAGTTTCACTTTGAGAGCTTTCAGTTAGAATCTGCCCTTCCCAAATTTGAGGAAAAATCGGGGCACTGTTCCCCTTTGCTCCTTGGGAAGCTGTCACTAGAGGAGACACGAGGCTAAAGTCATGCAGTGCTGCCTTTCAAGTGCAGCTGTCCGCAGCCATGGGGGCTCCTGAAATTGGTGGCCAGACACCTCCTTTCACTCGAATGATGGGTGAAATAAAGTATTGATAGTGATCTTTCTGCAGCTGATGGCAGAAAAATTAGTGGGAAGTAGATGAAGTGATGAAGTGCAGTCCTGTCCTTAGACATCTGCAAAATAAACTTGTGGAGAGGAGAAGACACTTCACCTTAGGCAAAATGCTGGGTTTTTGGTCCTTCAGAAATGATACATGAAGCAGTGGTTATGTGCCTTTTGGGTTCTGCTCCATGCATAGCTGGATCTTCTGCTTTAAAAAAAAAAAAAAAGGAAGAAGAAGAAAAAAAGCTACAAAAAATGGTCACATTCTGTGACATTTTAGGCTTCCACTGCTGTCACAGATTGGAGAAGAGCATAAAATGTTAACTAAGTCCTGGAGAAGACAGAATTGGCTGAATGAAAAGGGGAAACTATAAGTAAAGGCATATGGGCAAATAAGAGATTTTAATTTTCCCATTGCTCACGCATGCACATCTAGCAGGATAGGTTGTTTTTTTTTTTGCTGGTTGGCCTGAAATCTTACTTTGTCCAGGTTTTCTTTCAAATAGCTATTGCAGCTATTGCTGTCCTGTGCACCCTTCCACTAGCGCTTGTTTCAGCTCCTTCCAGGTGCGTTTGGGCTGCCTGGGCCCTTCTCTCAAGCCCCACATTTTGTCCTTACGCTTTCATAGCACAGGCATCACCCAGAGCGCAGCATTGACGTTCCCAAATTGCTCACGCAGAGTAGGAAGCTGGGTGGAAACGGTCTGTTCCTCCATAACCCTCATTGCTTCCTGGCCTGGGTGGGAGAGGAAACTGGAATATGGAAATGCTGCTACAGAAACTGTTCTCACGGTATCGATGACCTGGTCAGCCAGGGTAGCGCTACTTAAAACCAGAAAATAGAACTACCTACTTTTTTTTTTCTTTAACCCATCTCATAAAGTAAACAATTGAGGAATACTGAGTGTTTCTGAAACTAATATAAAATTTTCAAGAGATGTAAACAACACTTAAGGCAATAATCTTTCTGCTAGGTGTTTGTGCAGACTCAGTGTCTTCCTCACAAACTGGGGGGGATGCGGCACAAAAGAACTTTCTATTTTTATGTAATGGCAAGTTCAGTGCAGTCCTTCCTTACTCAATCTGCTACGTGACAGCCGGGACTTGGACTAGGTGATCTCTAGAGGTCCCTTCCAACCTCAACCATTCTGTGATTCTGACGTGTGTACTGCTGACAAGGGGGCTTTTGGCAGAAATGCTGAACCAGTCCTGCAGTCGAAAGGCTCGAGGTCTCTTCTGCAGCTCGCTTCTGAATTTAAAGTGTTATTCACCTTTAAACTTGCACTTAAAATTCAACTTAAAAATTCATCTTGGGATGACCTCACAGGGGAAGCATTCATACAGGTTTTTAAAGCAGTCAATGTCTTCTGTAACTTGCATAATAATTCTCGGGTTGCTTATTAATTATCAGGAAATAAATACTAAAATTCCCCATTTTGCTTTGAATTCATTTTTAGTAATTCTGCCCCTTTTTTAATATTCAAATGTTCACCTCATATGTGTTTCTTATCAGTCTGTGTTAAAGTACAAAAGCTTGTAATGAAGTTCTACTTATTTTTGTACTGCTTTTAGGAAGTTGTGAGTGACATTTTTGTTTCGTGTGTCTGTTGTATTTGTGGGGGATTTTTTTGGTGTTTTTAAATACATAACCCTGCAGTTTATTGTATTCTGCACAGGAATTGACATTATCTTCTACCTCATACCAGAAGATCACTTATTCAAAAGTAGACAGTCTCAAATGTCAGTGTAAGCGAGGTAGATCATCACTGGGTGGTTTGAGTGTTTAAAGGTATGAGATCTCTGACTATAGGACCCCGCTTCTCTTGCTTGTAAATGCCTGCAGAAGGAATCATTGCACTACCCTGAGCTTGCATAAGCCAAGACATTTATTCTAATAATCTGTCATCCTAGTTGTAGATGAAGCTTTCAATAAGAAAACAGTATTTTTGTAGAAGACTCCATGCTAGAGTAGGAAGTTCTGGTACCAAAGAAATTAGTGTAGAACTGCTGACATTTAAAGTCATTCTTGCCCTTGTGTTCACATTCACAGGGCAGACTTCTCAAGCCCTTAAAATGAGTAGCCCTATGGATTATGTGTGTTGAGTACCAAGCTGCTCTTAGAAGTTTTGTATAATTCGAAAAACTTAATGCACATAGACCACTATTAGATATAAAATTGTTTCTAAATTGTGCATTTCAGACATGCAAGAAAGCATTTCAGTCAGGCTGAGGGAAGCCAGCTGGATGAAGTTCGACAAGTGATGGGAATGTTGGCTTTTCCTTCGGATACTCATATCTCCCCCTATAAGGTACGTTTATGCTTAAAGCCCAGTGATACAGTAGAATACTAAAATAGGCTTTTTGCTTAGGAGAATAAAAAGAAAAGTTCTGTAGATGAAACGTTTTCCTAATTACGCTTTCTGAATTCTGTTTTTTAAGTTCTCAATTTTAATAACAAATCATTTTTTGTCAGTCAATCCATGTAGTATTTGGGTGGTTATAGCAATTGGATCTTGCAGGTCATGGATGGGCTCCCCTGAGCCAGGCTTCCCACCAATACAGGAAACAGTTCTCTGGGATGGAGCCTGGAACACAGATATGCAGCACCAAGATGGGGAAGCACAGGGAAACAGCGGGACGGTTCGGATCTCTCTGCCAGGCTGGGGTCTGACTGCACGAACAGCAATTCGTAGTTGTGTTTTTTTAAATATATGCCCTTGTGATTTGGATAAAGAAACATAAGTTGTTTTTTAGCCATTTGAATGCAGTATTTTCTATGCTTAAAGGTAGGTGTTCGTGCATTAGAATTATACGGACTAATGTAGATATTGGTGGCAGTAACTTTTCCCAAATTGGATTTGAACAAAATCCCTTAGTAGCTTTTTCTGTGCTGTTTCTGCTGAGTATAGTTCAGTGCTAATTGTCTCTTCAGATTCTGTGCTGTGCGTTGGTTTACATGGCTTTGGAGGCGGAAGATAGATAATAATTGAACTGGCAGAAAACAGGACAAGAATTTTCTAAAATGTCGAGCCAATATATGGCCATGCCAGTATAAATATGTTTTTAAATAATTAATGATGAAGCTAATAGTATTTGAGGGGGAAAAATGCAAGAAACAGAACAAATGTGAATTTCTTTGTCTCAGATGTCATGTTTGGTGTGAGGTAGGAGTCACAGATGTGTCAAAAGACGAAGGCAGAGCTCATGATGGTTTTGCTGGTTAGTGAAAGAGGAAGGAAGTAAAAATCCTGTGTTCTGCTCCAAGAGCTAGTTTGGAGAGAGAGTTTCACTGAGAGACTCCAAGGAGTGGAAAATGCTAATATTGTTTAACACACAGGCCTCCTACTGGAACAAGTTTCCTACTACTTACTATAAATCTGGCTTTAAAAGTTTCTGGTTTTGTGTAATATTAGGGGTCCTCTAATAAACACTTACACAGAGAATTATAGAGTCCAAACTCTTTTGGAGATACCTTAACATGTTTCCCAGAAGTTGTGAACATAAGAGGCTTCTAAAACAGCTTTTAACATTTCTGAGAAATAGTTTGAACATATGAGCCCTAAAATCAATTTTTGTTAACCAGAGGGAGGAAGCATCTTCTATGACCAGTGAATTGAACTTTTGCTTGCTCATCATCCTGTCCCTCAGGACTTAGAGAAAACATCTGTAGTTAAACGTATTTAATGGTGTTGGGAAAAAAAGGGTTTTTTGACATCCTGTCAACAAACTTGTCTTGCTGCGCCTAGCATTTCTGGAACCTGGCATACAGCGAGTTGCTGCTTGTGTACCCTCTCACCAGGGCACTGGACAGTCGTAGAGCTTTTGTAATCATAAACAGCACTTACCTCTTACCATGGATCCTCTTGGCTGGCCCTTCTCCCTTGGAGTTGCCTTGAGGTCAGAAAAGCTTCATCCTGGAGGGCCGTGATGTTCCCGCCTTCTGGAGAGCCGGCGGGAACGCGGATCCGCGCGGCCGCGGGGCAGAGCCGTGCGGGGCTGGCGCGTTTGTTCTTTCTGCAGGAAACGTGTCTGCGTTTCTCTCTGCCTTCGTGTGGGGATTCTTTGCCTCACTTTTCCTCATGGGCTTTGGAGTATTTACAAGTCGGCCAAAAATTCCATGTTACATCCAGAATTCTTTTCTTTTGCCTCTGCATCTTCCCTGTGGATTTGTCCCTCTTGATGTCAACTGTTCTTTCTTCGTACTGTTTTTCTTGCTTTACAATAGTTAATGTGTGGTTTTGTTTTGTTTTCCTTCTGGTAAAAGTTTTTTGTGTGTGTGTTTTTTCCCTTCTCTGATCTGGTATTCCTGGTAGGTGAAGAGGGTTGCGTTCCCTCTTTTTTTGGGGTGTTTGGGGGTGGCTAATTGGTTGAAATCCATCATTTATATTCAACCCCCTTTTCAGCTCTGTAATTCCACTTTCCACACACAAAAAAATATATCCAGGCTCCTTTACCTGAGGTGCAGCTGTTCCTTTCTCCTCAGATGGTCTCAACTTAATGGGAGCTGCTCCTAGTCCGGTAGTTTTATTGTCTCTGTTTGTAGAGGTTTCCACAGTTCCATAATCTCAGCTAAAAATTACAAGTTACACGTGAGCCTCTTCTCAGCACTGTTTAGCTAGCTCAGTCTGGGGTGAAAGGCAGAGAGAATGGACAAGTATTTCTCTACTTCTTCAGACAGTTGCTGTCAAAATGTAGTTTCATGATTCTTTCCATGTCAGCTCTTTCTGCTTCAGCCGGGTACTTCAAGTTTCTCTTAAATATATTTCTGCTAATGTGTAACGTTAGGATAAGGGACCTTTATAAATCAAGTACCCCCAAAATGTATCATGATCTTACAGACTTTTGGGAGACAGTTTTACAGACCTCGTGGGTGTTCCTGGGGTGGAGGAATGTCAGCGTGGAGGTTACAGTGGGAGGCAGCGCTGGAGCCTTTCCCGTTCTCATCCCTTTTTTGGTGGCGACAGAACCACAGCGAGGCAGGGTGGGCCAAGCTACCGAAAAGGGAGGCATAAAAACTAGTGCGTACCCCGGCTGTAGCAGTGCCCAAAGATCTTTGTGTTTGGAATTGAGGCTGCTATTCTCTGTATCTGCCAATAATTCAGTCCTTCAATGACTTTTCTTGTAAAACCTGCTTAAGAAACATAATAATATATTAAAAACATGTTTTTTCTACTTGCCTCAAAGCAGGTACAGTTGATAATACTGATTTTTTTTTTTTAAGGTAGCTCAACACAGTGTTTTCCCATAATGAGATGCGGGTTACGGATACAAAGCAAAAGGGATGGTAGCAGGAAAAAAAGGATTAGAGCTTTGCCTGTCACACACATCATAACCGGTGTGTTTTCAAGAGGTCTTAGTTTTTCATATGATCTTTCTCTCAGCATTTTTTTAGTGTTCAAAATAGCCTTAATTAATGTGGGTTCTCGCCTCGTTTTCATTCAAATCAGCCACTTTAACTACTGCTGCTTGTTTTTAGGTAAGCCGCAGCATTGCAATGTATATTAAAGATTTTTTCCCTTAAACGCCTGCTGAGCTTTTCCTTTTAGCCTAGCCAACTTCTCAAACCTTCTCTCCTCCCTCCATCCCACCCCCCTCTCCCAGGGAAAACAGAACGGTGACACCTATTTGCAGTATGCACAGCTCAATAGGTATCAAGCAGAATTGGCCCAACTGGAGGCAGAAGTGCCCGTGGCTGTGTTACTGCTCTGCTGGTTTTCAAGCAAACTCTCCTCAATGCTAATTTTGCCTCGCAAGTTCTCCAGTGTTCTCAAAACTGAATCCAGCAATAACCTTGCCTGGGTTTACGCACCTGCACATAAAGTATAGGACTTAGAGTATGTAAAGTATGAAACTTTATTTAGAGCATATTTCTAATAAAGTAGTATTAAAAGGTACTCTCTAGGTACCTAGCACATGTGTTTTTATTTTGCAAATCGCTCCTGTGGATTGTGCTCAGTTACCGCCTCAGTCTTTCCCCCTACTCTCCCTAGACAACTCCACTGCAGACAACTTATAGCTGTGTTTTTCCTAACAGGATCTCTTGGACCCTGCTCGATGGAGAATGCTGATCCAACAGTTTAGATATGATAACTACAGACTACATCAGCTGGGAAACAATTCTGTTTTTACTATAACCCTCCAGGCAGGCCTTTCAGCTATAAAAACACCGTATCCTTTAATGCTGATTAAACTGTTGAGTGCAAAAAAAGTCCCTCTCCCTCCTTGCCCCTCTCCTTGATGTGCTCCTCAGAGCTCAAAGAGGAAATCTCAAACTTGCATATTTTTGCTTAAATAAGTTTGCTTTAAACTTGTTTAAATGGAGTATCAATTGGCAGCTGTGTTAAATTTAGGTATTAAAGTGTGGGCTCTCTTGAAGCTTAATGAATTTACCCCACACCATGGTGTATTGAGGAAGGATTGATGCTACTGATGTGCTCCAAATCAGAAGCTTTCTATAGGTGGTACTAGACACTTGCTGCTTATTCTTGCTACTTCTTGAAAGAGCTAAAGCACCTGATTTTTTTTATAGGTGCCCATTAAACTGGAATGCAGCAGTTCTGTGAACTGTATGACGACTTCTTTGCAGTTAACTCTTTTCCCAGTGTACAGTATTAACACACTACTTCTTGCTCCATTCTGTGGTGTTGTTCTTTAACTTGCTGTTAAACAGACAGTGTTATAAAGAGGATGGGAGTTCAAAAAACCCAGACTGCCCTGTGTGTAGCAAATCCCTGAACAAGCTGGCTCAGCCTCTGCCCATGGCACATTGTGCCAACTCCCGACTAGTCTGCAAGATTTCAGGGGATGTAATGAACGAAAATAATCCTCCCATGATGCTACCAAATGGATATGTCTACGGATACAATGTAAGTGTTTAAATCAGTGACTCAAATCCAGAATAGCTGTCAAAACTTTCTATATCAAAATAAGAGCTTTTTGTCAAACTTAAAAGCATCAAAAACATTTTTGTATTAACAAAGTGTCTTCTAATATTTTTCTTAATTATAAGAATTTCTTAGTTCTTATACAATTTCTTAAGAATTAACTGGGATTTTTTTTGCTGTGAAATGGATCCTTAAGCCTCTGAATATCTGAATTTATAAAACAATCTCAAATGTCACTGGAAATCTTCCATTCTGGAGCATGAAAATGTAGAGTGAGAAACTTCTGCAGGAAAGGGATCCTGGCCTGAGACTACAGTGCCTGTATTAAAAACAAAAAACACACACACTCCCAAAATATTTTCCCCAAATAACAGTTAAATGATGCTTTGATTTGCATTTACCCTTGTGCATTTTATCTTTTGCCTTTGTTTCTTTTTCAGTCTCTGCTTTCTATTCGTCAAGATGACAAAGTAATTTGCCCAAGAACCAAAGAAGTCTTCAACTTCTCACAAGCTGAGAAAGTCTACATCATGTAGGTCCGTAAAACACACCCGCTCAAGTGCCGCTGGAGTTTGATACAGTCTATATTGGCATACCCTGGAAAGGGGGGGCCTTAATGTGTGGCAAAGAAGCAAAAATCTGCCGCCTTGGGCATCAGACCTGTCGGTGGCATTATTGTTTCTTGTGACCAAAGATCAATGAGCAACAATAAACACTCTTTAAGAGAGGAATTATGACTTAAGTTTGTACTTGAATAGAAACAAAAACAAATTTTGATTGTTGAGGTTTTGTAACATAAGGTCAAAAATTGGACTCTTCTCAAAAGTACCTTCATCTTCTAAAGGATAACTTTCTTTAAAGATGGACACTTGCACTGGGGGAAAAGTTACAACTAATATGAAATCAAATCCATTTTCCTTCCCTGTTTTTCACAATTGTCCAAGACCCTTTTGTTAACAAAGATTTCAGTACAAGGATATTCTCCTTTAAGCTCCTCTTTGCCTTCTTTATGATCCTCTCGTGAAGTAATCCTGAACGTGAATCATA